TTATTCGATTTTTAATTTATTAATTTAACCTAATTAATCCAACAAAAATGAGTTTTTCATCAGCTTAATAAGTGTTATATGCAATTCATTATCTCATATATCGATAAGCATTACTAATTAAAATTTTTATGTGGTATCTGAATATTTTTTTAAAATACAATAACAGATAAAGCCAATCGAATTAGTGAATCAGGTGTAACGCAAAATTCAAAAAGATCTCTTTATAATTAGGCCAAATAGCAAAAAATATGGAATTCTTGGAATAATTTTTTTGTCAGAACGAAAAATTGATTTCGTAGGCAAAATATTTTCTTAGAAGTTTACGGCTTGGTGCTGGGAAAGTCAAAAAAAATAATATGTACAAAAACTAAATATGATTTAAATATCATCGAGACGAATCAAATGGTACTAAAATCATAATTTTAATCAATAGTTCACGAGATAATTAATTTTTTGTACAATTCGACCCTTTCCCAGCACCAAGCCCACCTGATCTCCCAATTTGATTGGTATTCTTGGGTAGTTCTCATCGGTAGAATTATCACGTGCATTACAGAAAAGTCAATAAATTACGCGACTTCTATCGCGTTATTCTGACTTGTCAACTGAACACTAACAGCCTTTCGGAATTGAAACGAACTTACTATTAGCATTTAGATAACATAAAACATGATCTTTTTTTTAATTGGTAGGCTTGGTCGATTTTTAAAACTTGTTGATTTCAAAATGTATAAGAATCTGCTAACTATTCTTTATGCTTTCTGAGTAAGGCTCACTTGCACCACAAATTACACGCCTAGGTTCTTCTCCCGTAAGATGCCCGAGTTGCGTTGATCCTTCTCCAACCGTATTTCTTAATAAACACCAAAATAAGCTCTCAGTTTTCTTTATTCCCGTTTGGTGGTTCAAACCAAAGTTTCTTTGGATTTGTGAAAGATGCAAATGGACAGGAGACACAAGGCCTAATGATGAACAGGTCCGACAGAGGGAGGAGGCGGAGTTGACGTTGCGACAGCGGCAACCTTTGCCAACTTGGGTAAAATTGTCAAGTACCCGTGTTTTTATTTTTAATCACAGAATATCATTAACTTTTTATCAAATTGATAGGGGTTGAGAAAGTGTAAAACTTGTGATAAAGAGGTAAAGCTTATGGTTATTCAACTGATACGCGATTACAGTTACATCTTGTGTTGGAAGGATTCTCGTAAATATTGATTTTGTAGATTAACGTTTCTGGTCGCATCAAGTACTGCCCATACTGCGGAAGTCCGGTTCAGGTCTAAGGTAAATTCGTCGTTTATCTGTTTATTTTCCTTCGCGTATAAATAATCTGCTGCCTCTCGTTAGATCTAACCTGGTTAAAACAAACTAAAAGGTTCAGAACAAGTAACTTGTATTTATTTACATCTAAACCTAACTGGATCAGTACACATTGTCAATAATATATACGAATGATAAATTATAATAAAAATTATCTTTTATAGATGAACGATTAGAATCTAATCGAATGACAATACTTTGCACACGTTATTATGTGAAATGAGAACAAATTTATCAGCAAAAATGACTCGATCAAAATTTCTAATGATCAAAAATTTCAAGTTACATAAAGTCTTGACAGAAGTAATCTCAGCGACTTCGAATAGTTAATACAATAAACATTCATCACCACATTAAATTATTCGAGGTCTTGAGGTCACATGCCTGAATAATGTTTACGTGAAATAAAACAAAATTATGAATTACCAGTATATAATTCTTCACGTTCCAGATGAATTCTTACAGTTCAAAGATTTTAATTTAATGATTGATCTTGATTATTGGTTTTAAATCGAATCTTCCATATGTTTGATACACGTTCATTAGTGTTTGTTACATAAAACTTAATTCTACAGTATGGCGGATAAATTTTCAGAATAACCAGTTCGGTATAGTGAGATGAAACTATATTTTATTTATAAAAATGAGTGGATTCATAAAAGCAATTTAATTTTATCTTTGCAAATCTATTTTTTGTAGCTTTAACGTTAAACGGTTCATTTGAATACTAACAATCTAAATTGTAAACGTCATGAATTTCAATAAAAAAATAGAACATGTGACAATTTTTTTGGACCAAAGAGGAAAAGAAGCAAATCAAATTAAGGGATAAGGGATATTGTCATTAAATCAGGTGACACTTGGAATCACAGGGATTGTTAAATCTGTAATATCGTGGTTGATAACCCTTCGTTGTACTTTTTGTTTTTATACAAAGTAACTTTTACAAGTCGAATAAATAATTCTTTGACTCAAACAAATACATCCTCAAGACTGATCCATAACAACTTAACACTCATATGAGTGCCATCACATCTCTCCAATCACAACAAACTCAGCAAAAACAGGGTTTTCGCAACAAAATCATGTCTTTTAATAGTAGTCGAAGAAGTAAAAAGCATCCTCCTTTGTCTTATGATAGTGCTCCAGGTATGTCTAAGTTGAAAGTTCTTGTTTTGACTTGACATACATTGATTTCTTTTTACGTTGTTAGCAAGTGCTTCAACGTAAAACTGGAACATTGCTTTTAGATGTTTTATCAGTGATTTTCCGTTTGTTCTGAACCTTCAAGGTTTTAGGGTACACAACGAGAAACTCATATTTTGAACGCAACAATATTTAGCTAACACTTCATTTTTCAACCTTTAAACTCCCTATCCATGCCAATTACCAATTTACTCAAACAACTCAAACAATAAAAAATAAAAAAATAAATAATAATAATAATAATAATGATAATAACAAAAAACTATTTTCACGGTGAATTCTACGGTAGAAGGAGGAGAAGACCCACAAACTACACCGGCTCCAGCCAGTCCTACCCAAAGTGTCAAAAGTCTTAACCATAAATCGGGACGGCCGTCTCTCTTCGCCGCATTTGCTCGCAGAAATTCAACCAAAAGCGAGCACTCCTCAAGGAGTCGTTCACCAACCAGCCCTAGACCTTCTAACGATTATAACTTAGCCGAAGATTTTCGTACTCCTAGTCCGACACCATCACGAGATTCAATGATCTTCGAACGTGACATTGAAGTTCACGATCATCTAAGCGTTCACGAAGCTATAGACCTCGCTATTCCTCCCGCTCTAAACAATGTAGCCGAAGCCTTTGTTAAAGAAGAAATACCTATTATCACAGAAGACGGAACTGATTCTATAGTTAAAAATAGGAATGAATCCGAAAAACTTTGGATTAATACGACAAGGGGAGAAATCGAGGGGCGGAAAAGATTGTCACTAATAAATTATGCGGACATTGTTAATCGAACACCAAGTCCTGGTCCGTTTGATCAAAAGAATACAATCGCGGAAACTTTGCGAGTGACGACACCGAGAGAAATGAACGGGTTGACAGGAATATTTGACTCGTGCAAATAATCAAAATTATCCAATTGAGGAGATTTGTTTCCTGTGAGTTATGCAAATGAATCAGGTGAGAATAATTTTATTAAAAATCATTTAAATTAACTTTCTTTGACTGTGAGCTACAAGTATTTCGTTTCTCTTTTATCAAAGTTTTGATTTTTTTTTCGCTGAGTATACACCGGCAATATGACGACCAAAAAAAAATCACTTTCGGTTCATTGGATCAAATATCATATTATATTTTTTATATTACGCATTTCTCTAATCTTATACATATTTATTCTTAATTATTTTTGATTTTTAAATATTTTTCTCAGGAAATTATTATTCATGGTATATATACACAAGTTGAAAAAATTAGGAAAGGCAAACCAGGGCGCACAACTATAAAATTGTATTATTCATTATCACTTTATTTTTTTTCGTTATATATATTATACATACATACATATTTACATATACACATATATATATATATACACATGTGCCTGGCTTCCATTTCGCTGATGAACGGATCAAAACGTAAAAATTAATTTATTAATAAATTTTTTTCTCAACAAAACATATAAAATTTATATTCAATGGGTTATAAGTAGAGTTGCTACAGAAAGTCTCAGGAAACAGTGATGAATAGCGACTATTTTTACATTGCTACGAAAGCCTTCAAATTCTTAAGATTTATTGAATTGGTCACATGACTATATAGATAGCAAGGGTTTTAGAATCATTAGAATCATTAGGGTTCTTTTCACATTACAAAAAAATTATCACATAAAGTCATGTGAAATTGCGTGATCTACATTCAGGGTCAACAGCAATCGCCACATCGCTTCTGCTTATATGTACACTCAACTACTCGTTACTTCTGTACTTTGTAATTTTGTCTAAAAATTAGAAAGTGTTGACCTTAAATTTACAAATTTCATTTAGAACATAAAATAATGCGCCCCTGTATTTCTATCTTGACGAATACAAGTTCCATCTACATAAGTTATACTTTTAACTCATTGCACAAGGCATCATATCTAGTACAACTACAAATAAACGAAACAACACTTTTTCAGCCATTATTTTAACCTCTTAGCTTTTTATGTAGTCGGAGAGAACGTTAACACTACCAGGATTTTCGTCATACTGAATAATATTTGTTTGCAGATGAAATAATTGGTGATATCAAATAAATTGTAGCACAGAAATCATTCGGACTTATTAATTGGCCACTTAAGGTTGCTATTTACGTTTATTGCTGTCCTGACCTAAATAATTTTGATGACTAATCCTAACATTATTGAACCAATTATTTGAGTAACGAGATTGTTTATTTGTGCCAGAGTGACAAGTACAGTTCGCCCTTGTCATTGACATATACGAGTTTTATATTAAAAAAGGGAGCTGTAATGTTGTAGGGTAAATACAAGTTTCGCATTTTGAAGGCTTATTCTAAATGCATCATACAGTGCCATGTATAAAAATTTAGACCTGCAATTAGAATCTGCATGTATATTGGTTTTAAGATAATAAGATCTGCATCTAGAATATAATATATAAAACTACTCTGTCAAAATCGATAACCTATCACTTTGATATAAAAAAACAGGTTTATGCGATAATCTATCACTACAGTATTGAGATTTTTAAAAATTAAATTTGCAATTCTGACAATTTGGATTAATTTTTTGTTATCGATGGCCAATCAAATCTTATCAAATTATATCATATGATGTTTAAAATTTGATAATCTCTGAACTACGTATACAAAACACAAAAAAGCGAATCTGGTACCCAATTTAAGGCATAAGCCGATTAGTAATCAAATTAGGAGCCGGTTAAGTTAGGGTTGCACAAATCATTTTACTGATCCCATAATTTTATTCACTTTTTGCACCCTAAAGACTCAACTGTAAGCACATTGCTATAGAGTACCAGAAGTTCAATTTACAATATAGCCTTTGTTGCGAATCACTAAATACTTATAAAGATGATTGTAATATATTTTTGCATAACTCCGGGCCTCTTCTAATCTCGCGTATTAGAATATATGCACGTGGAATGATTAGAGAGAATTATGCGATCCCGGGATTAGGGCTAAAAAATTGTTGGCCAATCAAATTTCATGATCAGGGTAATGTAGTCTATGAAACTGTTTTACGTTATAAAAAATTCCTTACATAAAGAATAACTTCGAACCCAGCAAACTTCCCTAAAAGTCCAAAAAAGCCCAAGATTTGCTAGAAAGTTTGACTACATTCGGATTTTATTAATTTTTAAAAGTGCACCAGGTACTATGATTGTTTGGCCAGTATTATTTACATGATTAGCCGGCGTTAGAGTATATAAGCTGACTTGTGTAACTTAATTTATGTAACGCCAATTACGTAGGTGGCTAAATTATGCGAGATTATGCGAATTTCTTATCGCATATTATTTGTACTATAAGGTAATTATGCGGATATTATGCCGGATTATAAACTCTACATATGATATAATCACGCAACGTGATGAGTTGATTAGTCAGGATCAACGAAACTTGACCTGAATTTAGGATTTATTGTAAGTTACCAAAATGGTAATTTACTGGTAAGTTACTGTAGTTACCGTGAAAGTAATCTATGCTTTATTCCGAAAGTATCCGTGCTTCATGTCCGTTAATTGCCTACTATTACGAA